GGCCCCACAGACTTGCCGGAGTCACCAAACCTGGCACCCGGCGGCGGAGGGGTCGGGTAGGGCCACGGCGCGCCTTTCCCTGGGAAGCCCGCTGGAAGCAGAGGGCAGAAGGGTGCAGGGGCCAGAGGAAAGGGGCGTTCCCGCAGACAAGGAGAAGGGCAAAGAGAGGGGGGAGCGAGGATGCGCCTCAGATCTAGAAGTGAGCAGGCGGGAGGGGTGCGGTGCGGGTGAGCGAGGGGAGAAAAGCGAGTGAAAAATGGACATGGGAAGCAGCGATCTCGTCTCCCTGCACTGGGAACCCAGCCGCGCTCGGAACACACATAAATCTTCATTGCACCCCCCTCCCATTCGCTCGTGTGAAATATCAGGCCCGATTCTGAATATGACAAGCGCTGGGAAGCCCGGGGAGGGAAGCGGAAGAGTCAGGGTGTCCGACCCGCTCCGCTCCACCTCGTGGTGGGGTTGCTCCAAACTCCTGTGGGGCGCTGAGTCCCAATTTCCCCCAGTTTCATCAGTTTCAGGAAGCCCATTACCACCAGTGACGTTCTGGAATGCATCTAATTGGCTTTCCTTAAATCCCTTTTTGTCCTTGAACAGTCCCACTCCCGTCCTAAGTGCTCCCCAGAGCATGGACGCACACCCCTCCCGCTGCGCCGAATTCCTGCGGCTGGCGGGCAGGGGAGTGCAGAGAAGAAAGGGGGCGATTCCTGGGCCTAATCAGAGCGGCTGCAATGTGGGACCGTTTAGGAAGTTTCCCCTCAGCCTCCTTTCAGGATTACTTGTGAAAATTGTGAATATCCGTCCTGTGTAAGGATTTCCGAGACTGGTGGGGCGAGTTTGGGAGACGTATCAAGGTTGATGGGGGCGGAGGGAGCCCCATCAGACGGCAGCTTTGTTTACAAACAGTTGTGTAGTGGAAGGGGGAGGAGGAAAAGGGGTAAAGTGAGGAGTGTTGGGAGTGGATGAATAGTCCCCTCCACTGTTAGAACACCCCCTTCCCCGCGAAGGGGGACGGGGAGCAGAAGCCCCTTTGCCTTAATAAAAAAAAGTCACCCTACTGACTGTAAAACCCAGGAGCACATCCCGCACTCCGACACCGCCTCTTGCCTCCTTCTACCTCGTCCGAGTCCAGAGCACTCGCTCCAAGGACACCAGCCCGCTCCTTTCCCGCCAAGGAACAACGACCACCAGTGCCTTAAGTCTGTTGTAAGGTCAGAAACCTCTGAGAATTAAGCTCTGTCTTCCTCCTAAAACACCGGTCCCTTTGCACTCCACTTTGGGGTCCCAGGTCCGGCAAGCGGGTGGGTGGGACGCGCCCCTGGCCCTGTCAGACTGGTCTCTGCGGAGACTGCCGGGTTCTGTCGGGGTCAACCACCCACAACAGCCCCAGGAAAGCCTCCCCTGGGTCAGATCCTCCCTCCCTACCTGGGATCTGACCCGCCAGCGTTACCCGCTGCCCCGCCCCTTCCCCTAAATACAAACCGGCGCGGGGGTGGGGAGATGCGGAGGCCCCGCGCCCCTCGGAGGCCTCCCTGGCGGGAGCTCCCCTCCCGGGTACTGGTTTGTCAGTGATTGCCACATTACAAGATGTTACATTCCTCCCTGGGGCCCGGGGCCGGGCGGGGCGAGGGAGACACTATGTTTCAAGAAAAGAAAGAGCAGGCGGGTCTTGCAGGAGCAGTTCCTGGGCGCCTTCACGAGAGAACGCAGGCACAGTCTCTACAATAGACGTTTCTTCCCGGGACCGGCTCCGGCTCCTCGCTCGTCCTCGGGGTCGGGCCAGACCGCAGGCACTGCGGTGTCTTAGCAGTTTGTGGGCTGCGTGGCAGCGCTCCTGGGAATCTCCCGAGGCCCGGCTGGGGGGTCCTCAGGAGTCCTGGCGCCCTGG